TGCTTCCGGGGGAACGTTCTCCTGCCACCTCATTGAGAGAGTGAGGGAGGAAAAAAAGAATTGGTGCCACATGAGGCAACACGAGACTGTACAGCAGGAAATCGGAATCCAACACCACATCTAATGAGCCCGTTATTAGAGGCTCTTGGCAGAGCGAGGAAAACAGAGCGCTAATGAAAAGCAGGTACAGAGAAAACGTAGCATGGCTCCATTGTGCATTTCCTGTGAGTCACATAGCACAGTTTGCAAGATAAGCTGGATTTGCCATTGAAACAGGACTTGCGTGCATATGTGTGCGAAGGAGCTGGGTAACAATTGCAAAATTCACAGCTGTTTAAATAATACAGTGGAGAAGCTAAGGTTGAAAGAAATTGTAAGCTCATTGTAAAGATTTAGTTATTCTCCACCCCAGGCTTTCTTGTCACATGGCCTTACTTTGTTGGGCATGGAGGCCATGGGAGAGGTCTGGCTGAGCCAGCCTCCAGTATTCAAAACTGATTGCCAGCTCCTTCATCCAGGATGGACCCAAGTAGGAACAGAAGCGACTAACAGTCTCTGTGGCTGCAGCTCAGGGGTTGGGGTAGGAGTGGTGGAGAACACTTGGCACTGAGGGGTTGGTGTACCCCAATTCCCTGTCTTAGTGTTTGAATTCTTTATTGCTCTGTTCTCTTTGCGCAGTGAGTAGACATTAACAAGAAGATGAGCACACACACTTGAAGTGACTGTGTTGATCCAAGGGAATGACATAGATCAGGTTTTGCCTTTTCTGTTCGTTGCCCTGGAAGCAAACCCTTACACTATTGAGACCTTTGGCCTTCTGTCCGTCCATTTTTCTAGTAGCAATGTGTCTCAGTAGGGGTTGGGACAGGCATTAAAACCCTGCCACTTTCATGATGGTAACAGGCCCTGGCACTACTTCTTTGGTAGTCACCTGAATCAGTGCCCATGCCCAAATCTCACATGTAGACATACGTACATTTCATCTGGTGGGAGTTTTAGATTCTAGGGCAGCTGTCCAAGTGGCCGTGTTGTATTTATTCTACTTACCTGCTAAGCTGGGAATAAACTTCAGAATTCATTCAAGGAGGCTCCTCATTCCTCCAGGCTGGTGTTCACATGTGCCCTAATAAAGACACAAGCCCTGACCACTTGATATAAAATCGTATACACCTGCTGTCTTTACTTCTGTTCAGTGCCATCATGATCTGTTCTTTCCCCCGCGCCATGTCCACACCATGAGAGCATGAGCTTTCTGGTCTGGCTTTATTTTATTTGCTGCACCGTTCTCAGTAGGTCTTCTAGGGTGGGGACTACCCTGTAATCCCAGAAGAAATTTAAGGACTAAAGGCCAAGAATAGTGAAAGCGTGCTGAAACGTGTTGCCGACGTCTGTAGAAAGGCTTCCTTCCTAGAAGAAAGAGGGCATCTTTTCGTTTCCCCATATGTTTGAGCAAGTACTTGTGTAGAAGGTCACAGTCTTGCTCTCTCATGCCTCACAGACTGGTTGGTAAAGGATGCAGGAATTTACGATCCAGGTCAGGAATCAGCCCCTCCAAGAGACCTTTCCTGAACACCCCTTATGCCTTCCCAACCTGGATTAGTGCAGTTCTCGTGATCCCCAGTAGCAACCCATGTGGGGCTTTATCAGAGCACAGATGTAAAGCAGATAATTACAGTCCAGCCCACTTCCTCCCCGTTTCTAGGCAAAAGCACTCACCACTGAGCATAGTGTCAGAAGCATGATGAATAGTCAATGAATCCATGCATGTTTCTTGCTATTGCTGCTGTTTGCTAAGTAGCCAGCATATGCACATGTTCTAAAGATATGTAGGTTCAGAAGCAGCTCTGCACAATGGTATATAATAATCTTTGGTATTAATATTTCATGTTAATATTCTAGAATCTTCTCCTTTATAGGCTCCCCTTATGGTCTGAGAAATGCAAAAGTTGGCTGCAGAATTTTTGCAGATAGTTTGGGGGAGGTCCCTGCATCCCTGACTGCAACTGAGGCTCTTATTTACTTTAAAAACTATTTTCTGTGTTGGCAAGATGGCTCACTGAGTAAAAAGGCTTGTTGTTCAGGCCCAGCAAGCTGAAATTTACCCCCAGAACCCATGGTGGAAGGCGAGAACTACCCCATGACAGGTGTTCTCTGGCTTCCCCACGAGTGCCATGATGCCCCTCCCCCAATAACAACAACAGCAACAACAATGATTAAATAAATAAAGCTATATGTTAAAACTTGTTCTCCACGTGCCTGGAACATCTGCTCAATTCTAAGGAAGCCAGTTGGAGACCTTCTAAGTGAGCGCCTGTGGACGGACTCTTGACATCTTGAAGCTGCCCCTTTGATGTGGCTGTTTTGATTCGGGGCTTCTGGGACATTTTTGTCACAGCCGAAGAAGCAAACTATTAAGCAAGCGGCAGCAGTTTTTGTATAGCAAAGACATGTGTGCAACAGACACAGAGCCTCTTCTCAGGGTCCGCTGCAGATGAACCTAATGTCTGGGTGTTTCCACTCCGCCGTGGCTGTTTGGATGCCGAACGCTTTCATGACACCATGCGGAACTTGCCAGAACGCTTGCTTTCAGTACTTGCTGGCCTTGTTTTAATAGAGAGAGTGGGCCTGATTCTAATTTCCATGGCATCAGGGTACAATCAAAGCAGAAGGCGAGAGGGTTGACGGATTCGAGGGAGGGGTTGCCAGAGGTTGGGGAGGAACTGGCTGAGAGAGTGTGCTCACTATCCCAGGGCACGTGCGGCCTCCATCCCTCACTGGCCATTCTCTAGGTTTTGAGCTCCATTTTACTTTGCAGTTCTGGCTGGAGAATTGTTTAAAAATGGAAATAGAGCCCAAATGTTGACGTAGAACTCTGGTCTGTCTATGGTGAAGAGGTCATTCTGATCGTTTTGTCCCGCTTGCTGCGTGAAGCACCTTCTGCCTGTTTTCACTGGGCAGTGAAGGAAGCGGTCCTGGGTGCTCACTGACCCTGGTGAACACAGGGAGCCAGCCATACTGCTCTCTTTTTGTGGGTGGTCAGAGTGACCCTACGTGCCCACATGTGGCAGGAAGTCAGAGGTTGCCTGAACAGCAACGTAGGAAGTAGAATACAGGGGCCACTAAGAAGCTTTTGGGTTTTAGATACTTACTCTCATCTGCCAGGCTATGAAGTCCTATTCCTGATCTTTAGGGCATTTTGATAGCAAATGCATTAAATAGCTTGTTATGAAAAATGAGCCATTGTGCTTGGGCCAAAGTTTCAGCTCTGAGCTAAATTCTCAGCATCTTGTTGGATGCTTGGCAACTGGATAGTTCCTCTCACTTACTGGCTTCTTTGCCAAGAGCTTGAGGAGTCTTGTCTCTTCTCCTGCCCTCTGGAGAAAGAAATTGCCCATGGCAGGCACCACACTGGTGTATTTTGTTGAACATTTGTGCATGTGTGTATGTGTGTTGTCCAGGTGGATGGGTGCACATGTGTGTGCACATGTCTGCACATGGAGGTAAAAGGTCATTCTCCAGGTACCATCAGCCTTTCTTTTCTGAAGTAAGGCCTCTCCTTTAGTCTGGAGCTCACTAATAGGCTACACTCTCTAGCTCACAGGCCCCAGGGATCTACCTGCCTGTGCCTCCCAAGCACTGGCATTACAAATGTCCACTGCCACAACCAGATTTTTAATGCGAGTTCTAGGGACCATACACTCATGTCTCCCTGCTGGCAGGGCAAGCGTTTTACTGACTGAGCGTTTTCTCCAGTCCCCCTTCACTGAGTTTTCATGAAGAAGTATCAGATCCTTCCTTCCCCATATTATAATCTGGGGATTGTAATGTAATCTGGCTCCCCCCCACATTAGAGATCTTTAGAGCCCTGTCTAGTGCCTCCATTTAGAAAGAGAGGCGCACCCTGAACACTGGATCCCACAGCTAGCAAGTGCTGGAGTGAGGACTAGACTCCCGAGGCCCACACTCTCCCCATTACCGTCCTGCTCCTGGCAAGCCATCGCTCTGCAGGCAGACATCACTTCCATGAAGGCCTGTCCAGTCTAGTAAGAGGACCAGAGCAAGGGTAACGCCCTTCTTCTTTGCCATGCCGTCTGTCGATGATGTGTCCTTCCAGGCGTTACGGTCTTTTCGTCCGTTTTGTTTCCATCCACCAAATGATGGCGTTTGTAAACAGAAGCTGCCAAACGTCCTCAGTGAAAATGTGCGCGCTTCGTTCTAAAAATCTTACTGGCCTGGGAAGTGTTATAGCAGGGGAGGGGGCAGCAGGGTTCTCACTCCCCCTTCAGGGGTTCTACTGAGCACCCACGATCGCTGGTGTTCACTTGGGGCGGGTCATCTGGAAAATGGCTGAGTTGCACCGGAAATGATAGTGGTCAAAACGCTGCCTGCAGCCATACTGCTTGGGCTCTGAGTGGCCTTGGCCCACGGGCAGTGTAGCAGAGCCCTGATTATACAAGTGACATTTCAGAACCACAACTGACTGAACTTTCTTTTAGCTGTATACAGTGGCTTTTCCGGAAACAGAGGGAAGGCCTGCGTTACCTGCAGGTGTGGCTTTCACCTGTGTAGGATGTGGAAGATTTGAACTTGGGGGCATTCTAGTTTTGATGTAATTCAGGCCACAACTTTCCTGAAAAAAACCCCTCCCCCACCATTAAGAGAAAGAAAGAGCTCACATTTTGGAACTTGACGACGTATCTGGATTCGAAACTTAATGTCCTGTAGATTTTAAAGCCTATCCCCGTAAAATGGAGTAGAGACACTCCCTTCCCAGACTGAGCATGGGCGTGACTCTTGGGAAACCCTACTAGTCTTCATGGTCCTGCCTTTTCTTATGCAGGGTAATTGGGGGTAAAAGTGTCCATATGCTCTGCAGGTCAACTGGAACCCAGGTGTGCCCCCCCCCCGTTACTCCCTTTTTGTCCCCCGCTTTGCCCACAGGAGACGCCTTTTGCCCCAGCCCAGGGAGTCACTAATCACGCTCTTCGTTTCTGTTGCAGTGCCAACAACATGCCCAAGCAGGTGGAAGTGCGCATGCACGACAGCCACCTCGGCTCCGAGGAGCCGAAGCACCGAAACCTGGGCCTGCGCATGTGCGACAAGCTGGGGAAGAACCTCCTGCTCTCGCTGACGGTGTTTGGTAGGTGCCCGAGGTCTCTCCCCTCCTTTCTCCTGAGGGCTCTCCACCCCTTCCCCCACGCTCCCCTTATTGGTGGGGGAGCTATCCTCCCAGAGAGTGCTCCCCCAGGAGCGGAAGCCTTGTGTCCCACAGAGGCCCTATTAGGCACTGCTGCCTCAGTGGCAAAATCTGCCCCTAAACCAACTCTAGCCATGTGCTCTGCTCCGCAGTCTGTGGTTCTCCGTGACGTGTGTATGCATTTCCTGTGAGTGTGAGCATGCAGGTTCCCGGCCACACTTGTGCAGAGTTTTGATGTTTTGAGCTGTTGGAAGAGAGGCCAAGGAATCTGCAGTGCTGCAGACCTTCTGGTGATCTCCAAGCCGGCAGGCAGCAGACCACATTTAGAGAAATACTTACATCAAGATAAGGACAGCAGGGCCAGAAAACCTCACTAAAAGGGACCACAGGACCAGGCCTTTGCCAGAAGCACCATTGCCTTGACTAAAGCTGAGGAAGGGTGTATGGAAGAGGCTCATTCCGATGCTCAGATATGTTCTGAGTCACCTTGGGGGTTTGCCTCCCTGCTTCAGGCCTCATTCTGGTGTGCTTCTTTGGTCTGAGCTGTCAACACCATCTCCGTCTTGGGTTTTCTACAGGGTATATTGAAACACAGAGTAAATGGCAGTTTCTTGTAATGACGGCCACACAGTTTCTCTTCTCAATTCTCTCCTTGTTCTTCGGCTCTCGCTTAGGCTACACGGAGAAGCAACTAAAGTTTATCCTCCCCCCTCCTCACCATCATTCACACATACCCCATCCCCCACCCCCTTGGCCATCTCAGCTGCCAGTGGGCTAAAATCAAAACTATGTGATTGCCTTAGTTCGCTTGGAAACAGGGAACCACAGCCATGGCTGGGTTTTTAGGAACCACTCACTGTGTAATCCAATATCACTCATCGTAGGACTTGAAGACTGACATGTGGAGCTAGGAAAAGCTCTGTCCTTCAGCTGGATCCCTCACTGCACACCCCTAGATTCAACTCCACAGCCCATGACTGGCAACTCCTTCCCCATCACCAAAGTGGGCTATGGTCTAGATGGCAGCTTTTGCTTTTTTGTGGCTTATGTTGGCCCCCCATTTTCAACAGGCTAAGGGTTTTTCTGGTGGAATGTAGGACTCTGTGAAGCAAACAGCATCTCTGCCGACATCTTTGCTCAACTTGGCTCCTCCCAGAGAATAGATTCCCGGAGCCCTGTCCTATGCCACTGGCCTCCAGTTAAAAAGGAAGACATACACTAAACACCAGATCACATTGCCAGATCTGGCTGAGAGAAGAAACGATACTGCCTGCTGGGAATGGGTTCTTCTGGAAATTTGTGGTGCTCCGTGCAATCAATATCTCAAAAGATTTTGGAGTCATGTCTTTATTTCTCCCCGTGGAGTGTTGAGAATGTTCTCTAGGCTCCTGTAGTGTTAGGATAGTTGGAGCTGTTACAGACAGGTATCTTGCTAGTTGTCAAAATCAGTTTCCCTTATGTAATGTCTTTATTTTGTAGTATTCATAGTCCATTAGGCAGACACATGAGAAAGAGGATAATCAGTGATAGGAATCCTTGGAGCTGTCCATTTAACTAGGGCAAAAACTGAATTCAGATTTCCTCTTCCGCTTCTTCAACAGGTGTCATCCTGGGGGCAGTATGTGGTGGGTTGCTTCGCTTGGCATCTCCCATCCACCCTGATGTGGTCATGTTGATAGCCTTCCCGGGAGACATACTCATGAGGATGCTGAAGATGCTCATCCTCCCTCTCATCATCTCCAGTTTAATCACAGGTGAGAGCTCCTTGCTGGTACCTGCCCCGAGTGCCGCGTAGCCCTACCCTGGCTTTTGGGTTCAAAGTAGAATTTCTATTTGGCTGAGACAGTGGATGTGACTGCATCATTGCATTTCTGAGCTTTTTCCTGTCTCTAAGATATGAATCATTGGTCCTAAAAGAGAAAAAAATACCATCTCTCATTCACTTGGCCTTTCCTTCTAACAGCCAGAGATACAAAGGAACAGCTATGTATTAAAAGTGATGGTATCTTGTCATTTCATTTTTAGTATGTTAAAAATATGTTTTATTCAGAAACTGATGTAGGAATCGAAAAAGTACACTGCCTTTATTATTTACTTGAGCATATGGGAAGATATGAATTGAAAAGAGATTAAATGCTAGGCATAAAAGCTGAGGTTTTCTTTTAAAAGAATTATATCCTTAATATGTGATAACATGCTTTCTTATTATATTTTTGGCTAAAAGTATTAATTTATTTGAGTTTTTCCTATGTTTGAACATATATTGACAATTTTTTTTTTTTTACCAGACAATACTCTTGAAACAGGGTATGATGTATTGCTTAGTGACTACTTTGGAGTTACCAGTGGGAGTTGCTGGTTCATAGCTAGATGCCAAAGAGCCAGGTGACCCTGAGAACTGCCCTCTGCATGGATCCCCTTGTGCAAGCGGGGTTCAGTGTCTCCAGCTGACTCAGATGCTGGGCCAGCTGCCCCGCAGCCTCACCAGAAACACTGGGTTTCAGGTTCAAGTGTTCAGGGACCGAGTGAGTCTGCCATCATGAAACCCTGAGCTGAGTGAATCTGTGCTTCTCTCCAAACCAGAGAAAATGTCCTCCTGGCCTGTTTAGCAGATCTCATGCAGGCCAGCGGGGAGGGACCCGGCTTCCTTTGCCTAGAATTAGACTTGGGGTTGTAGAGAGAAGTGGGTCATACGTGGGTCAGATCGATTCGGAGAGATTCACACCAACTTCCTCCCCCACATGAAAAAGGGCAGATCCCCAGAAAGGGGTTCAATTTCTCTCTTCAGCAAAGGTAGGAACTGAAACCAGGAAGTGGGCACACTGAAGAAACATCTGGAGAAAACCCACTGGAGGCTGAGGTCTGTATGACTTCAATTGGAGTTTCCTCTCACCTCCCTCAGTTCAGATGCCACACACACATGCTGCCGCTGGCAGCTGCATCTTACATGTGCTCTCTGGTAGCCGCATGAGGTTAGATGTGAGGACCACAAGGTTTTAACGCAGAGAGAGGGGAGAACCATACTGATTCTCCATTTAAGTCTCTAGTAATGTATTCTAAAGACATTTGAACATGACCTTCATGTCCCAGCCTTTCATTCCCCTAAATAAGGACAATAATTAGTAATAGTAACACACTAGAGAAACACTGGCCTCAGCTAGACCATCACTTCAGAGAAGATAACTTAAGGTCACAAAAACGGAAAAGACATTATCTTGGAATTAAAAATGGAAAACTCTTCCACGTTATTTTCACATGTGTGATAGTGACTGGTGGTATGTAAATCATACAGCCATCTGTAAACTGAACCAATTGTCACCAGCTCCTCCCAGCTCTCAAGAATCTCAAAAAATATCTTTAGAAAATAGAAATGTAAAGTGTAGAATTGGTCACATATTTAGTAGGAGGACTGTTAGTTGACCACTAATGTATCTGAATGATAGGAAACCCAGGGTTTCAGATACGTAGAGATGGGGACGTAGGTAGGAAAGAACAGAACTGATCTTTCTGGATTTCTTCTAAACCCAGGGTTGTCAGGCCTGGATGCTAAAGCCAGCGGCCGCCTAGGCACGAGAGCCATGGTGTATTACATGTCCACGACCATCATTGCCGCTGTGCTGGGGGTCATCCTGGTGCTGGCCATCCACCCTGGCAATCCCAAACTCAAGAAGCAGCTGGGGCCCGGGAAGAAAAACGACGAGGTGTCTAGCCTGGATGCCTTCCTGGATCTCATTAGAAATCTCTTCCCGGAGAACCTGGTGCAAGCCTGTTTCCAGCAGGTAACCCAAAGCCCCCCAGTGACATCCCTGTCCAATCTCCCACCTAATCTGTGATAGCGTAGAGACAGCTTTAACTCCGAATAGCCATTTTTTTTAATATTTATTTATCTCTGCCAGGCCCAAGTGTTGTGCGAAGTGCTCTGGGGAAGGATTCTAGGGTTGGAGTCAGATGGCTTGATTTCCAGAGTCATTGTTGCCTCCCCCTAATGTCTTGTCACTCTGAGACTCACTTTTTCCTGTTTCCCTTTTGTTCCTGTCTCTGAGTTACAATAAGCACATTTTTACCAGTCTTGTTCACAGCCCTCTAAACTGCCTGATGGTTCTCAATACTGTCTCAAAGCTCTATGTAGTCCATAAAGAAAAAGGATGCTGATTTAATGGGCCCTACAAAATGAGAATCTATAATCCATCCTCAAGATGACACAGGGCACTGAATATAATTTTTTTTTATTTATTTTTATTTTTTTAGACAGGGTTTCTTTGTGTAGTTTTGGTGCCTGTCCTGGATCTCGCTCTGTAGACCAGGCTGGCCTCAAACTCACAGAGATCCACCTGGCTCAGCCTCCCGAGTGCTGGGATTAAAGGTGTGTGCCACCACTGCCTGCTTGAATATAATTTTTTAATTGTGAAAACAGCATGAATCCATAAACCTAGCCCTGGGGAGGCAGAGACAGGAGGACCCTGGGGTTTTCTGACCAGACAGTGTAGCTGACTCTGCAAATTCCTGGTTCACTGGGAGACCCTGTCTCAAAACACAAGAGGGAGAAAGACCAAGGTAGGCATTGATGTCAACCATTGGCCTCCATGTGCACTTTCACACACATGCACGCATGCACGCATGCACGCATGCACGCATGCACGCACGCACGCACGCACGCACATGCACACACACACACACACACACACACACACACACGCACGCACGCATGTACACATGCACATACAAGGTTATATCTTTTAAAAATAGATAATTATGTTAAGTGAAACCACTGAGTCACCAGCCAAAGCTCCACTCACAACCTTGTTTTCTTCCCACAGGGCCAGCTTAGGTTGGCACACCCCTCAGTCTCCATTAGCTCATGAAAAGACTAAACTTGAACCCATGTGTCTCCTTTAGCCCTTCTCAGGGAACCACTGAAGGATGAAGTTATAAGGCAGGCAGCTTAGCAGAAAAATCTGAATTTCCAGCCCTTAAAATGCAGTGCCAGCTCCCATTGAGCCCACATCATACCAGGCTGGGATGGGTTTTTCTGATTCTCCAATTTATTTTATAAAGAAATGATGAATATTTAAAATGAGAGATATACTCATCACCTTGATTTGATAATTATCAGTGTCTGCATGTATGGAAATATCCCATAAATATGTATTCTTGTATAGAAATATTCCATTATACACAATAAATATATATTATTATGTCAATATGGACTTAAGTTAAAGAGCACCATTCTAGACAGGGAAAGTAGGATGAAGAGTGACTAGAAGCTGGAGAAAGGAATCGTACTGAGGTCCCCTGTTTGTCTGCTTGCTAGACTCACCTAGGAGGATGAAGTTGCTTGCTTTGGAGTGGTAGATATAAGTGGCTGCTGAGTCTATTTTGAACATTTCGAAATGTGTGTTTTGGACCTATAGATCCTGGGAAATTAGCTAAGAAAAAACAGATGGGAAGGCATGAGATATCCAACAGATCTAATCTACTTCCTGTGCCTGGTCACATCTCAGATACCTTCATTTCACCCTGGAAAACAAGACCAGAAGCCCCAGGACTCATTTATTGCTCTGATCTTGTTGGACTCAGCTCCTGTGGTGTTGGCCATATTCACATTTGGGGTCTTCCCTGGATGATGATGGTCTTTACCCCACGGCAAAGGGTGCTGTCTGGACCCTAGAGGATAGAAAACTATATCAGGAACTTTTCCTCCCCTGCCTGACCCTACCTCTTCCTATGGCAACTTAGCTTTGGTTCCCCCAGCTAAGACCAGGATCAAGATCCTTTTGAGTTGGGGCAGTATGAGGAATAATAGTGTACAGTCTTCTACCTTGCCATGAGAGTGGGTGTAGATCTTCACCCTGACTCCAAGGGCCTTGACCAGAGGGTACCATTCTTACCGAGTAACACAGCATTGATAGAGATGGAGGAGGAAGGGATGTTACGAGAGTCCTTTCTGGGTCCCTGTGGCCTGGTAGGGAGTGTTTTAAAATTGCCTGTCTTGGGTGAAGGGGGATTCCTGGACAGAATTAGAAACAGATGTAAAGAGGAAGTAGAACTGTTCCTAGATTGGAGGCAGCCTTCGGTCATTCCGGCTTGCTTGAGTCAGACCCTGTATGTGTAAAAGCAAGGTGGCCTCCTACCTGTTGTTTAGGGCTGGCTGAGAGGACATACGCTTCCACATGTTTCCTGTAGCATGTAGGAAGGCAGCACTCAGCTCAAGCAGTTACTGGTGGGTTCAGGTCAAATTCACATTCTTATTCTAAGAAAGACTGAGTCAGGGAAATGGCTGGTTTTCTGTTGAAAAATAACCAGTGTGACAGTGATGGGTAAAGACAAAGCTGTAAGATGGGAGCTGAAGGTGGGGGGCTGGTAGGAAGGAAGTTGTGCAGGTGAATTAGGAGACATTTGTGAGTTTTCAGGTAAGGGATGCTGGTAAGTTGAACTCAGGTACTACAGCGGGTATTCAGATGGTCCACCTACAAACAGTCTCTGTGAGACCTCGGACAGAGACCTGACAGAGGTGCCAGTGTGCCTGTCTCCTCAGCTTCTACTGGAACCCCTTCCTGTGCTGTTTGGAAGCTAGATTTTGGAGTCAAACATGATTCATGTTGAAGCTGGCTCCCCTGACTGAGTAAAAATCAGGCCTCAGGTTAGTTACAGGACATGCTAGATACAAAGCCGTGAACTCCCAGCCTCCTACCGGATCCTGGCTGTCACCGTTTACCTAGGTCCATGATAATCACTTCAGATTAATCCAAACTTTGGCTTCTTCACCAGTCTCAGGATGAGTCACCATCTTTGTTGGCCAGAGTCTGGCAGCTGCATCCAGAAGTGTCCCTTCTGGTCACCTCTGTGGTCTCTCTTCATGCTGCTCTCGACCAGAGCCTGGGCCACCCTCTCCTTGCCTAGCCAGTCTCGGGCCTCCTCTTGCCCTGCATATGGCCAGGTTAACCTGGAAGGTGCGTGCCTCTGCCTATAGAAGCCCGCCCATCCCTCCCTCCTGCTCTTGTCGTCTCCATTCTGCATGGCTAACTGTTAAACCCAGCCACAGAAGGATCAGGTCCTCATAACTTAGCATATGGTGCAGGTGGTGGGAAGAACTCAATGGTGGTCAGGCCATCTGAGTTCAAGTGTCAGCTTTGCCAATACCTATGACGTCTGAAAAGTCAGTCGACTTCTCCATGCATCGTCTTCTGTATCTATTCAAGGTTCAGCCATCTGTCACCTTCTATGTGCCAGGACTGACATTCTAGGATTTTGAATGATTTCTATTTTAATGCCCTCGAACGTGGTATTTTTTTTTGAGGCTAAGATGTGAATTTTTGCATGCAGGATGCCTGACACCTTTAAAATTAGAACCACTTTTCACAGATGTCGAGGAACAGTCTGAGTGATGCTTGGGGATTATTAGGCAAGGGTTAGCTGGCTTCGCTACCTGAAAGAAGAGAATGGTTTCCCACCTTACATATGAGTCCCACGATCCTGGAAAAATGGCTCTTGGCAGTTGTCACCCTTGATGTCCAGATGGAGGTTCCAGCAGAGCCTGGTTTGGGAAGGACCCAAGGCCTAGCACAGGCTTCTGATGATGTTGTACAGCAGAAGGAACGGGGTCTCACAGTTTGGAAGAGCACCAAAGTTGGAGACATGACGTCATCCCCCAAGCACAGCGGTGTTATCATGGGGAGGGAAACACAGACACACATCCCCCAGCTTCAGCAACTGTGCTGCTTAGGGAGTAATGAATTTCCTCAGTTTCGTAATGATCTTGTCAGTAAGACAGTTGCACCCTACTGCATATGCAATGAGACAACACTCTGTTGAGCATAAACAGAAACTAATTCCCATTTTCATGAGCCTTGTTTTGGCTTTTCATAGTTGTAGTTAACATCCTAAAATATATGGTTGGCTAGGTTGTTGTTGACCTTTTAGACCCACCTCACCTTTATGCTTTTTCCACCCTGCTCCATTAGATTCAGACAGTGACAAAGAAAGTCCTGGTGCCACCTCAGGCCGAGGAGGCCAATACAACCAAGGCGGTCCTCTCCATGCTGAATGAGACCATGAACGAGGCCCCGGAAGAAACCAAGATCGTTATAAAGAAGGGCCTGGAGTTCAAAGACGGGATGAATGTCTTAGGTAGGCAAACTGGTTGGTGGTGCCCATCACCTCTCTTCCTGACAGCGGCCAGCTTCTCCCAGCTGCCTTGTTCACTCAGTTCTCATTCTCCCTAGCTTTCTTCTCGAAAACCCAGTAACTCTGCGGTCCTCTAGGTGGCGCAGGAGGCTCTCTCTGGGGAACAATATGAGGGTCACTGAGACTGAGAGCTGAACCATGAAGGAAGAGGGACAGAAGGATGAGCAGAGAGGGAGAACCCAGAGGGACATGGCAGCCAGTAATCAGGGGTGGGAAAAGAGGAAGCGGTTGACATTTATCAGGCACATTCCTTGACTGTGTCTAGTGTGGTCAAGTCACCGGATTGAACTAACCGTTTTAGGAAGTGAGATATCCTTATCTATTATTTATTAATCATTTTTTTATGTCACTCTGCAGGAGCACCTTGCTGGTTGCCCCATCCCAGCTTTCAGTCCCTAACAAATGCAGAGCTACCAATACTGGCCAGCATTAGATTGGGGAGCAAAAGGATATTGTAGAGCACCATGTTTAACTTTCTAGGATTTCAGGGACCTCTCTTCTCAAGTGTGGTGCCTTCTCCCCACTCCATCCGTAGGTTCTCTTCAGCTGGACAGATGTGGGCTTAGGGATCACTGGTTGTCTACCCCTGGGCAAGTTGATCCACTTCTCTGAGCCTCAGCAGGAAAGTTGAAATGGGATTGGCATGGGTTTCGTAGACCGACCGTTGTAACGATGAAATGATGCTGTGCATATAAAGCACACTAGCACATGCCCCGAGTTCTGCCCAGACAAGCTCTGATCATTATTAAAAGCAGACGAAGAACCGAGGAGGAACTCAACCAGAAAACATCTCGTGAAGTGCGGGGGTGAGGTTTCCCTCATGGCATTCACTCCACATTTACCCAGTGTTACTACCCACCCAGCCACTGTAAGGCTTCAGGGTGGGCCCACACACCTCAAATTCCACTACTCCCCAATATTATGATGTCAAGACAATGGGACACGTGTCCATAAGATGGAAAGAGTTGGAGAAATATGAATTTGTAAGCAAGATCTTGCAAACAAGTTTTCTAAGGACTCCAGTGAGAACTGTTTAGATGGATGAGCTCAGTGGTCTTGTCCTTTTGTTATCTCAGAGATCAAATGCCCTTGTCTCCTTGAACTATTTATCAGATAAACTTGAATCTTAGGTCAATAACAAATAACAGTAATTTAGTGTAAGTATGTCTCAAGTGTCTGGGCTATTCTAAAACTAAGGAGAAAAAAGTTCATATGTATCTGGAATTCAGAATGTGATTGGGGTCCTGTTTGATGGATTATTCTGTGCTTGGTGGTCCTTCTCCATGGATGTTCGTACTGTAGAAAGGGGAGGGAGAGGAGCAGGCAGCCCTGTGACTGCAGGGCTGAAGCGGATCTTTTGTGTTTGGCCTGCAAGAAAGCAGGTTGGATAAGTGAGGGTGAGGGAGGAGATAAGCTGAGTGAGTTGCCAGGCAACCAGCAATCAGTAAACACAGCTGACAATCAGTGAGAGGCCAGAGGTGGTTGGAGGAAGAAGGAGGCAGTGTGAGAGTCCCTCTGAGAAGGAGGCTTTGTAGCTATCCTGGCAGCCTCTCTCTCCACTGTAGAGATATCTACTGTCCTTTCAGGGCCCCTACTGGTGGATCATAACTTTAGATCCCACCTCCTTGACCCTTCCTTGACAAAGGAACCCCTCCTCTCCAAAAGGTTAAAGATATAACAGGCTGATACTTAGGAGTGAACCATTCAGACAATCCTAGTCTTTTCCAGGGTCTTGATAGATTCTAGAAAGTCACATGCCCTTTGGCTGTGCTGGGGAGTTTCAAAACACTGGCAACTCGCTCAACCCCAACGACCAAGTCTAAGAGGGCTTTGTTCAAATGAAACACCCCTGTTCCAGTGAGCAATTTCAATTAGGCAATGTTTACCCAGGGAAATGGCAGGCTGAATCTTGCACTCCATCCAAGTACACAGCCAGGCACTGTGAAGCCAAGGGAAGTTAGATTGTTGAGAAACTTCCCATTTGCCAATCACAGCTAAAATAAGGTTCTTTCCATGGCCTTGCAAGGGCAGAGTTGGTGGCTTTGTTTTTAGTTTTGTTTTTCTGTATTTCTTCTCTTTGATTTTTGGAAAGTCCCAAGGACTGAGCATTGCAATACAGGGAGATACAGCCCAGGCTCTGTCTTCTACTTCTTCAAGGACATGTTTTTCTCCCAAGAAACCTAGAGAGCTATAGTGCATGGTACAGCACACCTGTGATTCCTGTACTTAGAAGGCTGAGACAGGAGGATGATTAGTCAAAGACCAACTTGAGTACCAATCAACACTGGTCTCAAAAATCAGCCAAACAAATGAACTCCCAAAGCAATTCTTGGTCCTTAACTCCACTTGCTTAAACTAGTGTCAACTGCTCCTTTAAAAAATTTTTTTTGTTTGGTTTTGTTTTTTATAAACTCATAGATACTCAAGTGTCTGTTGTCTCTGAGGGGAGTCTTCATTCTAATTCTTTTGGACCTTAAGATCTTGGACATTATCAAATAGTATTCACTAAGTAATAACTGGACTTCTCAGCCTGAGTATTCATAGATAGACTCTTTGGTGTCATACTCAATAAACTGTTCTCCATGGTTTGAGAGAAGGGTGGAGGAAGAGCTGGAACCCAATTTTCCATATTATTATAAAATTAGTTCCTTCTATCCTGTATCCGGTCTTCATTGAGCCCCATCTTGCTTGGGTCAATAACTCAATTGTGAAGTCACTAGTCAATCCCTCTGGTCACGAGCTAAGGAGGGGGAGATATTAAATTCCAAATATTAGCAATCTGAATACAAGGGCTTCATTATTTTCATCGAAAGAGATGGGCTTCTACCAATGTGCAGTTAATTAGGTTGATAAATGTTTGGTGTAGAGAAGAAGGGTGGCTTCTTTGAGGGATGAGAAAAAGAGGTAAATAGTCAGGGGCTCAGAGTAAAGGAATTTATATCTAAGAGAATCACATCATAATGCTGTGATATAAGCCAAAATTTAGGCATAACTGGATTATAATAAGGAAAGATTGGAAATTAGGCCTGCTAAACTGAGGCAGGGTACAGTAGAGAAGAGGCTGGAGAGAGATTAGAAGATGGCCAGTACTTCAGAATAAGTCAAATGGACAAACAGTGTTCCAGAGCTGGGAGGGAGAATAACTGTGACTTATACTCCATGTATGCAGTCAGAGTTAGGTCACCAAGACTGGGGGTGGATCAGGGGTCCAGGAGCACATGTTGATTGCAGTTGAAAATCTAGACAGTCCCCAGGCAGTACTGAGAATACTGTTAACCACGAGTTTGTCCAGTCCCTGGGTATGTTGAGGTTGAGTGGGGAGGTGGGAGTGAATCTCTGGAGTCACCAGGCTTGGTCTTTGAGGAACTGAAGAACAAGGGTAGGTCACCAGGTCCTTAGACAGGTGATGAGGCAGAAGGGCTGGGCTTGAGTGTTGGATTTGCTTCAGGATGTAGTGAAACAGAGCTGCCATCAAGAGGGTGAGGAGTGAGCTCCTCAAATCCTCCCTGCCTTGGGTTAGGATTGACCCTGGAGGCTGATGTGTGATTGAACTAGGATGTCAAGGAAAGAGAGAAGGTGGCTGACAGGGTAGGCATTGGCAAAATCTAACAATTAGTTCTACCTCCTGGCTTTATAATCCTGAAAAAGATGAATAAAAGAGAGCATGACAAGTTGAGTTTTAGAAGGGCGATTCATTGGGGTTCCCTAGCTAGTTTGGATTTCCTGGTGTTTCCTGTTTCATCCTCTTCTTGATTCCACGTTTGCTGTGTAGCTGGAGAGGAGTCCCAGGGTGGTGTGTACCCGCCGTGTGGTATCTCAGGACAATGCCAGAAGGGTATAGACATTTCTCCAGCAAGGGCTTTAGGGACTAGATGGTCTCTGCTGCTCCAAGGTTTGCGTGACCATCCCTGAGTCCTGCCAGGCTCCTCTCTGCTAACCTGTGTGATAATGGGAGCTGTTCACACATGATTTGCTAAGTGAGGAAGAAGAACAGGCAGCACCTTTCAATTTTGGAATGAAAATGAATTCATTTTCTTCAAGGAATTCACACCCGAACTGCTTAGAGTTTAGCCTGCAGATGTGAGAAATGTCAAGGAAAGCAGTAATTAAAGGATGGGGGGGGGTGTAGCTTTTAGCGTGGCATGTAATGTTTTTTTCTTCTAATTCCTAATTTATCCGAGGGTGGCTGGCAAGCAGAGTCGGTCCCGTACCTCAGTCACGCTGAAGAGTGAGGGGAAAGGAGCACACACTTGGTCACTTGTCCTGAGTAATGTTCCTCGCCCGCAGGTCTAATAGGGTTCTTCATCGCTTTCGGCATTGCCATGGGGAAGATGGGCGAGCAGGCCAAACTGATGGTGGAGTTCTTCAACATCCTGAATGAGATCGTAATGAAGCTAGTGATCATGATCATGTGGTAAGTCCGCTTAGTCTGACATCATCGGGATGGTGCCAGACAAAGCCTGGGGGTCACCAGAGGACAGTGGAGTCCTCCCAGTATGAAAAGAGTGGGTGTGGACCAGAACGGTAGGGGGAATGGGGTGGAAATCTCTTCCTTTCGCTCTGGCTTCCCTTTCCTCCTGCAGTGGTAGTCATTGGGCCAAATCTGATGTGTCACCACTCTATTTGTCCTTTGATTTGAGAATGGGTTTTATTGTTTTACATGTTCATCCCAGCTCAGGCTGCTGTAACAAAGTGCTATATACTAAGTGACTTGTGCACCACAGATATTTCTCCCAGTTCAGAAAATGGGAAGTCTGAAATCAAGGTGTCTGTGTGGTTAACTTCTAACACATTCATCTGAGTTGTGAAAGAAACAACTCGGTGGGGGATAAAAGAGGGAAAGAACACCCCACATCTCTTTCCTAGAGCATCGTTTCAGTCTGTTTCTGCTGCTGTTACAGCATACCTCAGGCTGTGTAAAATTACAAAGGAATTTTTTTTTTTTTAACCATAAGGAGGGAGACTGGGAAGTACAGAATCAGTCATTAGCATATTTGGTATCTGGTGAGGGGCTGATCCTTGTAGATGATTCTTTATGTGTGCTCCCACATGGTAGGAGGAATGAACAGACTTCACCAAGGCTCTTCTGTTAAAACACTAACTCCTTTAAGAGGGCTCCCTTCCACGTGGTCCATCTCCTAAACCACTGTCCATAACCACTGAGGTTATGACTCAACACGAGGAATTTGGGGGACAGAAGTGTTCAGACTTCAGTAGACACCAGTCTCGTTTCCTAGGGTGTCGTCTAGTTGCCTCTAAAGGCCCCACTTCTACATGTCCAGTACTAGGATTTAAACATTTAAATGGGGGGAGGCAGTATATCCAGTTCATTGAAATGGCTAAGAAAATAACATAAAATGAAGAAAAGGAAAATCAATGGATAATAATGTCCCACACCACGAGAATGAAAAGAAGTTTGCATTACCTCCACAGAACCAATGCGGTGATGTGTTTGTGGTTGGTTCTCATTAAAACTTTAGGACTGAGAGGCCAACCGGAGGCTTTGAGGTTTCAGTTCAATAAGATAACCAAAATATTAGTTCTGGCACGTTCACCTCACCACCTCATTGAACTTTGAAAATTAAAAGGGATAAAGGGATGCTGGTAAAATACAGTGTTCCCGTCTGCAATGGTGCTGGGTTTTCAGCTCCTTGGGCCATGCCAAATGTTTGAGTATTTATGTTGTGTAAGACTCAAGCTAGCTTGGGAATGCTGTGTCCTTTAGGTCCAGCTGAGTCTTCTGCTGGCTTGGTGGGTAACGACTAAAGCAGCACCAGCCTCTTGCTTGAATAGTAGTTTGTGTCCCTGCTGCCTAGAATTTCCAGCAATGTGCCCATCCCTGCAGTAAAGGTGCAGCTGGTATGAGTGACATGCCTGCCTTCCTTCACACCCTGTCATTTCCACAGAGTCCTTGGAGGAAGTGAGGTTCTTCAAGGAAAGTTGATGAAGCATTGGAACGGGGAGTGGGGATTAGGAAGTTCCCCACTTGGTGAAACCTTCACCCCTGAAGGTTTAGCACCTTGTCCCTGGGTTTAAAGAGGGCCGTGAGTCAGGCCTGCAGAAGGTTCCTTACAGGCCTCTATTACCTCGTCCAGGAAGGCAGACAGGTGTTTATGATAAGAGGTCCATTCCTCTCATTCTCTAGATGCCTCATCAACATCATCATTTGATAACACAAAGCCTGTGGGAAGGTTCAGGGTAACATAGACAAGCACTGTTAGCTGACCCCTCAAAGCAGAAATCATCACTGTCTTAGGGTTTCTGTGGCTACGACGAAACACCATGACCAAAGAGCAAGTTGGGGAGGAAAGGGTTTACTAGGCTTATACTTCAGCATTGCTGTTCATCACTGAAGGACGTCAGGACAAGAACTCAAACTGGGTAGGATCTCAGAGGCAGGGGTTGATGCAGATCCATCCCATGGAGGGGAGCTGCTTACTGGCTTACTTCCCATGGCTTGCTCGGCCCACCTTCTTATAGAACCCAGGACCACCTACCCAGGGACAGCACCACCCACCATGGGGTGGGCCCTCTTCCATTGATCACTAATTGAGACAACGCCTTACAGCTGGACCTCATGGAGGCATTTCCTCAGCTGAGGCTCCTTCCTCTCTGATGACTCTAGCTTGTGTCAAGTTGACACACAAAACCAGCCAGTACAATCAAATACTTTATGAAGTAGTAAGAATAGTAAAAAGCAAAATCTAGCATTGTGAAAATAATATCATTTGTAATGTTAGTTTCTTTTTAAAAAAATTATTTCAAGATAGAACCTCATGTAGCCAAAGCTAGCTAAAACTTGCTGTATAGCCAAGGAAGATTTTGACTTGATCCTCCCTTTGAACACTGGTACGCACCTCCCTGTCTGGCTTAAAAATTATGATCATTAAAATGTAAATTGGAATGATTTTTATCTTGTCATGTGTTCAAGTTCAATTATTATATTGTTAAATTAACTCATTTATTAAAGAAATTATTATCATTAAGTCATAATTGAGACTTGCCAGTTTTTTTCAATGTTTAGTGTTAATCTGTTAACTTTCCATGTTCACACTTTTTCATTCAAACAATTCCTAACAAAATAGATACTTTGTCCAGATGATAACACCGAGCAAAAGCTTAAGTTGCCTAGTGTTGCAAAGCTGTATCGCCCCACAGTCTCTGACTCAGTTTCTTTTTGAGTTCAAAGTAGATGAAATCTAAGAGCTTCTGGCTATAAGCTATGTGATTTTAAGCAAGTTAGACCCATTTAAATCCTAATATTCTTATTGGTAAAAGAGAATAATTGTAAAAACCGTGTCACGAAGTTGCTTTGAGAATTAGGTGAAATGGTGACCCCGGTCATTGGAACTGTTCTGTGCTTAAAAGGTCCACAGCATTTCTGTGAATAGGCTTGTGGTTATTCTGTTGTGACCATTATCACCATCAATCCAACCCTTATCTCCTGCATCTCTGTGCATATTAATCCTTCAAGAAGTCTGAAAACCCCTGGTTTTATTGCAAGTTCCATAACCTCATTTTTTTTAAAAAATTTAAAACGTTTTTCCAAACCCTGAAAGACTTGAATAGGAAGTAAAACTTCCCATAGTCTCCTTCTATTAGAAAAAGAGGTATCTGCCCTTCCTTTGTTTCTAGCGCTTGGCTATTGGTCCTCTGCCCTCCATACTATTAAAGGAAGAAGCATTCAATGGTGCTTGTTTAAGCTGGGAAGGAGGGCTTTCTGCAGGGCTGCCGGATAGGGGTTAGGGACCACAGCAAAGTGCTTTCACAGCGATGGAGAGGGACTGGGCTCAGATCCCAACCATACTGGGAAGGTGGGAATTTATAACCAATGGAGTAGGGGCACATCAAGAGTCAGGGGGATTCTGCTAAGGACCTAGCAGGATTCTTGTTAAAGTCAGGCCAGGTTGGCCAGATACCCCTTGGAGGATGGTAGACCATGAGGAACCTGATCAGAGATGGAGAGCCACACACCACCGAGGATGGGGATGCTTGCTAAACGGACTCGGTGGGGTTCTTTGTTGAAACAGTGTTTTAAAGGAAGGAGACAAATAGAGTCTAAAGATGGAGGGATCTAACTAAAGTTTGGTAAAGCAAACTTTTTTTTTCAATCCATTTGTTCTTTCAATAAGTAATCCTTTCTAAACCGACAAGGATGTGATATAATGGTGACATGACAGATTTAATGGTTCCGGCCTTCATGGGCCTCACATTCTCGTGAAAGAAAGGAAGGGAAGACAGATGAGGTGAAACAAACAGGAATTCAGTTGGTGGTACAGACAACAAAAGCGGGCTGTGGGGAAGAGTGAAGGAAGCAGGCCTGAGTGGCCAGGATGAGCTGTGTGGGAGCGAGGCATGGTACAGGCCTGGCAGTGGAGGCTGAGAGGAGGACTCTGAGGAGAGGAAGCAGGGAGGGGAAGGCTTTTGAGGATCAGGACAAAGATCTGCAGCCACTGGCATGAGAATGGTTAAAATGGTGGAAAGAGTGAAGGTGGACAGGCAGGCAGGGGTCAGGGCCTCCGGGGCTCCATGGGCCACTGATGGGTTGGATTTCATTGATTTGTGACAGGAAGCTTGTCGGGAATAGTGAGCTTGTAAACAGGATCCAGAGCTGAGAATATGACCCCCCTGTGGGCCGCATGGAAACGTCCCCTACTTCTGTCCCAGTGACTGTGTGCTGAATTGGAAATGGACCCGATAATTACTGAGCGTCACTTGACTTCAGAACTGTTGGGTGGAGCCTTAAGCCTCTGATTGCACTTAATTATGGTCTCGTTTGTTTCAGCTCAGGAGTTTTGAGTGGTAACATTGGACTTTGGGCACTTCCCCCTTTCTTTTCCATGGAATCTCATCTCCAATGAGCTCTTTCATTGATATGGAAACCCAAGAAAACAATTCAAGCCAGGTGTGGGGAAGTAACGGCCCTAAGTCCAAGGGCAAAGGTTCTTTTATATCCCATTAATACTTATCCAGTTAGGGGTGGGCAAGTGTTTGGAGTAGCAGGGGCTAATCCATACTCCATATTCCCCAACTCTTACGGCTCACCTTATGGCATTTGGTTAATATTCTCTATCTACAATGGGAGCTGGTGCGTACCCCCACTGCCCAAACCCCACCTGATGGGTGCTCCCAAGGTAAGCCTTGCCTCTCTTTCCTCCATCTGACTGGCTCAAATGTACTGCCCCTGGGGAACTTTGTAGCTGATCTTCCTTGGCAAAGTGCCTTGCAAACATGTTTCCTCCGTCTACAAATTACTTGACCTGAGGAGAGGAGGAGGGGGATGAAAGAAAATTGAATAGCATCCTAAATAGCTCATATCTATGTTTCTCTGGACAGCTTTAAAGGGTGATTGGTGTTTGGAAAAGAATTGACCTCTTGGTTTATGAAGATAAACCCTTCAGGGCTTAATAGGAAGGTATTTTTTTTTCCTGTTATTTACAGTCTCAGTGACAAAGTGCTGGCCCCTGGGACTCCATAGCTGATTTATGAGGTGTTGTGATTATGGGCACACTAGAAGAATATCAAATGGGAAGAAACATGAGGGTTAAAAGACATGACAGAAGGTTTGCTTCACACTCCTGTTAATGCTTAGAGAGCTGTCCTCAGCCATGGCCAGCCTGTACCCCAGGGGAAAGCAAGTGAGGATCAGGCTGGAAGCTGCACAGGGAAGAGCAGAGCCACACTAATGCCACACAAAGTGGCTCTTTCTCAACAAGGTTTGCTCGCAAGACCATCTGCCGCTGGGTAGCCTGTGAGAGGCGTTAGAAAGCCTCATTAGCTCAGACTTGGATAAAAAAATGCATGGACCAGGAGAGGCCTTGGTGCCTAGGTTTGTGCAAACAGAAGATGTCATGAAGTTTTTCCAAGAGTAAGGAATCAAATTGAGAAGGGTCAGGGAGGGACTTCAGCAGTGTAGACAATACACATTCAAGCTTGAGCTTCCCAGCTACCTGGTGGTGCTGGAGTCAGCCCCTCTAACCCTGATGCCCCATCGGAAAAATGAGACCATGTCACCCAGTGAGGTCCTGTAGTCAGTGAAAGGCTGGACAAAGTCCATGTTTTCTGCATTTAAGGACTCTCATCTGCTCTACACAGCCTTTCTTTAGCTTAGGAAAGGACCAGGGG